TTTCATCAACATCTTCTTGATTAGCATCATACAAAACAGCTCTCTCCTCCTCCTCCTCCTTCAATGGGTCGTCAGTTTGCGATGGAAAAAGATTAGATTGAGCCAATTTGAGGACCGTACCGGAGCCGATTTGCGTCTCCCGCCCCAACCAACTCGAGGCTGGGAAGCGTTAAAGATTGTACAGATCCTCGGCCTACTTCTGTCTCGATGCCTATGCCCGAGGGAGCGCAGTCAGAAAGACGATCCAGCAAGAAAAGGCCAATGCCAGAGTTACATTCTCTTGCATCACCTTCTCCTCACTTTCTCGCCTCCCAACCTCCGCCGTCGGCTTTCCGCTTAGTCCTCTCATCCACTTCCTGAAGACATTCTTTATCACTTTTTTCATGTTTGTTCTAACTTATTTATCACGGTTTCCTGCTAACCCTTTCAACCCGCTAGTTCAGAACAATACCCTTTCTCAACTTAGAGTCATTCTCACTTCTATGCTTTCATATCACTTTGTTTCTTCACAACTTTACCCATCTCCTTTTTCACCCGTTTTTCTCCCATATTCCCCATAGTTAGGAGGGTACATTTGGGTTCGCGAGAGGTCAAACTATGGTCTGAGGGTCCACCATTTTATCATAAGGGGATTTTAAACCAGAATCCACAACTAATCCTTCAATTTGTTCGTAAAGCATTAAATAAGTCTCAAAGAGAGTAGATTAGAAGTCATTGGTTATTTCCAGTTGCATAAGCCTACTTGAGGATTTCTAGTGGACTTTCTTTCGTCAATGTTCTGAGTAGACTTGATGATGCCATTCAATTTCACTTAAATTCTATCGCCTACTCACGTGAAATATGAGTATGATTTGGCAGAGTTCCGGCTTGTGCGGTTAATCATATTTGTCCTTTGAAATAGTGGCTCTCACTCTTGGCTATGTGGAGGAGCGTTAGTGTGTCGCCACTTTACGCTCTCTTTCCATGTTCCACTTCCGTCCGTAGTGAACATGAGAAGACGAGACTTTGACGAATCTGCAGTTCAGCCCCTCCAGAACGAGAAAAGCTTTGTGAGGCGGGCTTAAGTTAAATGTAATGGCACAGTGAGGCCTGCCAGGGTCACGGTGGAAAAATTTCCTCCATCAACCCATGACGCACCTTGAACCACATTGGCATACTAAATGATCACATTAGAGAGTTTTTAAGCGGGACATGAGTTTTGTGGGAAAATTTGACTATCAGCCCTTCAGTAAGTTGACAAAATAGTTTAAGCACATCTCATATAAATGATCTACTGGTAATC